ACAAATGTCCGACAAAATCCAGTACAAAAAGTGTGATGGCGTCATGGTTACAGCACCATAACATACAATTCAGGCAAATGGGCCATAATGAAAGGAAAGGTTACCGCAAGGAATCTAACTTTTAAGTTTAAAGATGTGCAGGCTCTCGTTGATGATGCCATCGGGGATATCACCTCTGATGACTGGAAATCATGTGTCAAAGATGCAGAGGCCGTAGAGAGCAGGTACTATGCATCAGACATTGCTGTCGATAAGGAGATGGACAGAATATGCTTTGTAGTTGACTCATCAGATGAAGGTATGGATACTGCCAGCGAGGGGGGGTACTCCAGTACGACTGACACCGCTAGCGCGACTGAGACTGTCAAAGAGGGCGAAGACATTGCTTGAATTGATGAAAAATTTTTATTGAACTTTAACTTAAGTATTATATATATGTAATAACACTCTCGTAAATAAAATCGTGAAAAATATATATGAAAAATAAACAAGTAAATAAATAAATAAATTATTAATAAATGAATAAAATTTAAAAAAAAACTTATAAGACCTTATAAAAGTATTAACACTAGAAAACGTATTACCCCATATGGGATTTGAAATTAAGACCTTTCGCATGCAAAGCAAGTACACAAACCACTATACTAACATACCACATAATATTTGCTTCAACTGTTTTCCTTGTAGTTCATTTTCGTATTTGATTTTTTTCCTGCCACCCCTATTTACTTTTGTATTTAGGATTTCCCATTCTCGATCATATTTGAATCGACAGTAATTTAACTCTTAAACTGCAATATAAACATGTGTTCATACACAAAGCACCATGATAAAAAGGCCATTAAGATCTAAATAGCGTGAAATTGAAAGGATTGAATATCAACACCGCTGTTAAAAGTAAAATATTTCACAAGAATATAATTCAAAATTTTCAATTAAAATTTATTTAAATAATATGTATTCTTAAATAAAATGTTGAACATAGTTTTCAGTTATAAAATACTTAAGAATATCTTGAGAGATAAAAATAACAGAGCAAAAAAAATGAATACAATGGTAAATTAGTTTGTTTCTTATTATACAATAGTGGAAAAGGGAATCGTATTGCATAATTGTATAATACAATGCATGGTTAAATGACAGCTGTTGGTTAAAATGAAAACTGTTGGACTAGTGATCCTTGTGGATTCAAACCCCGTCAGGGGCAAGCTATTGTTTCCTTCTATAAGAAACTTTAACGCTTTGCTCAGTACCGGTTGGTTCAAAAACCGATTCGAGAGTTTCTTTAAAGGGTTATAGCTTCCTACAGAATAGGACTAAAATAAGTTTTGCATAAACTAACTAAGTAAACTTATTTAGCTAAACAATAGAAAAAAAGTTCTCAACGCAAAACAGTTTTAAACTTGAAAGTTTAAACTCATGGAATTAATTTATTTACTTCTGTATAGAGATGGATCAATTAACAAAGTAGAAACGCACTTTAATAAATACGATGAAGTTATATTTGGAACACATAACAAAGAGTACATGCTTTAACGTCAATGCTTAAAGAAAAATCTAAAAATAATATCATAAATATTTTCTTTAAGATATAGTGTTTGATTTTATAAACTTGTCAAATTGTATACAGATTTAACTGTCAAGGCAGAAAATATATATTTATTTTCATATTTTGGGTAAGATAGAGGGATATCGCGTTAAGACGTGTTTGATTTTAATTTGCTTCTGTAAAAAAAAATATACTTAGCGTTATATCGTAATTGAAGATGTTTCTACACGTTCTACTTGTTGTACGAGGTTCATGATTGTTTTCTTATTTATATTTGAAACATTATTGAAGCTATGACAGTATAAGTTGCTGTGTCTGTTTTTAAACACTCTTTGTTAATAAGAAAGTAAAAGGATCAACAATTCTCATAAATACTTCGTAGAACTAAAAAATATATAACAAAAATTATATTGTAGCAGTGCTTATATGTCAGCATTTTATCATGTTAAAAAATATTTATATTTTGGTCACACTGTGGCTTTAAAGCTACATTAAATAAAATTCACAAAAACAGAAATGGCGACATTTTATAAATAAATTTGGTTTCATATCGACTCCAGATTTTATTTTGGTGTCAAGACAACCAAAATAAGTTTTATAAGCATAAAAAATGGACAACCTCATTGTACAATAATAACTATTTCTGTTTGCATGAAAAACTCCGCCCTCGGTTCACCCGTACATCAATATTAAAACAACAAACATGACTATGTGCAGCAGTTCTAATCTAACGGTATATTTCCGCATTGTAACGGATGTTTTCATACAAATTTAATCCTTTTTTTGAGATGATTACTTTTTTCTGAAACACAGGCCTAGTTCACCGTGAAGCTCAAACGGTAAAAGTGTGTTTGCACAAGAAAATCTCATATTTACTGTGTTCCGGACAGCAACTATAACACTGTGACGAAGCGCATACACGAGCTGATTATTGTCTACATTTGCATACGTATACAAACTTTAGTGTTACCGTGGGGTTATGAACTATATTTGATGAGATTTACAACATAACTGTTTAAAAGGTTTATGAAACTGTATAATGCTTGTTTTTTAGGCCGACGGCAAAATATTTTACATATTTATTTAATGTAACTTTAATGTTTACAGGTCATCCTTGGCCTTTTATTTTCTCTTACAGACGAAATCATTGATACCTTAAGAAAATAGGATAAAAGTGAAAACATTCGTAATAAAAGAAGCAATTGTAAACAAAATAGTATTTTGCCTGCCATGAAAAATACTAAATAGCTATAATTGTACTTATAGCCAAATAGGAACAGATAAAAGAGCAGAGGAATGTGCAAATGATTAACTTTTTGATTTTTTTAAAGATACACCAAACTTAAACAAGATATGCTTGTGAAACATGTATGCTCCCCTATTGGCAGCCAATTAGTTATGTGGTCAGGTTATTATGTCTGAATTAACCTAGAGACCAAAAATTCAATGGCGGTTTTTACTGGTCATGAATAGTCACTAGGTATTTGTGACTTTAAAGGTTGTGTGCAGCAATTTTATGAAAAAGTTATCATCAATTCTATCACTCCTCATGATTTTGCAATGTAGACAAAGAAGGGTAAAAACGGTGTTAAACTGCCAATAAACGTTGTGTGTGTATTTGCGTTTATTTATACTCGCCACCGGTCGCCCATATGGGCGAGTCCTCCAGAAGAGTATTAGTCATTTTATTTTTTTGGAGGAAAGTGCAATTACAGATACAGAAAGATGCCCCAATTCCAGAAGCTTCTCCTGGTTCTTTTGCGTGCAAGGTGTTTAAGCACCCATACACGGGACCTCAATTGAAAGTCTTATCCGAAAGAGTGATTAGTAATTTTAGTTGGCCAGCCCGTGGATCGAACCCACAATGTCGAGATTACAAGTCTCGCGCTCTAACCGAGCTATGCGGGCTGGCTTTGCCAATAAACACTGGTTAGCGGCTGTTATATTTATTCCCTCGACTATATAGTTTACAGACCCTTTTAAAGGAACAATAAATACATTTTTTTTATATTTCAGTTCTTATAATGTTTTCTTTTCATACAATACCGAAATAATATCTCTTATAATACTGCACGTTTGTAACGTCGCTTTTCATTGGACACTCGTGACGTTTATATTACTTGTCAAGATTTTATATAAGTTCAAAAATATAAGATTGATAAATAGGGCACTGATGTAAACACAATACATTCCATTGTAAGACGAAGGTTTTATTGTTGAAATAAAATAACATATTTTCTTATAATTGCTTTTGTTTAATAATTTCTTTTTCTTAGCAAAATCGAACATTGTTATACGAGAATCGGCAACAGAAGATATTTCCACTTGAAAAAATAACATTAATGATCTTCCTTATTTTATCTTGTTAGAATCGAAATAACATCGGTCTTAGCGGTGTTTATCGGCTATTTAACACCGGTTTTGTCGTTTTGATGCGAAAAATTAACCACTCAGGCCTACGGCCTTCGTGGTCAAACCCTACGCATCAAAGCTCCGATGTTATTTCTTAAATAATATATGAATAAATTTAATGAATCATGTAGACCTTCTTAATGACAGCCAATTCGTTATAATTATTACATTAGACCTTGAAATGTGTATACCATTAACATTTTTAGTTTAATAAAAAAAACATTAACCAAGGAAACTTCAGTTGCTGAGTAATTGGTCGGAAACCGTTTTTACCTACCAGGTCAATAAGACCTTGACCTTTGGTCACTTAACCCAAAAATCAATAGGTGTCATCCGCTGGTCATGAACAAACATAATACCAAGTTTAAAATTCCTAGGCCTAAGCGTTCTTTAGTTATTTATCGGAAACTGTTTTACCTACAAGATCAAAGTGACCTTGACCTTTGACAAAAATATCAATAAGGGTTATCTACTGATCATTTATAATCATTATACCAAGTTTGAAGATCCTAGGTCTGAGCGTTCTTAAGTTATTGTTCGGAAACCGTTTTTACCTAAAAGGTTAATGTGACCTTGGCCTTTGACCCCTTGACACCAAAATCCGTAAAGGTCATTCACTAGGATTGTACAATCATCATACCAATTTTGCAGTTCCTAGGCTCAATCGTTCTTTAGTTATTGATCGGAAACCATTTTTTCCTACAGTCTCAATGTAACCTTGGCCTTTGACCCTTTGATCCCAATGTCAATTGGGGTCATTAACTGATCATGTACAATCATCATACATAGTTTGAAACTCCTAGGCCTGAGCCTTCTTTAGTTATTGATTGGAAACCGTTTTTACCTACAAGATCAATGTGACCTTGACCTTTGACCCCTTTAGGATTGAAATGTTAGTCACGTACAATCATCATGCCAAGTTTTAAGTTCCTAGGCCGAAGCGTTCTTTAGTTATTCATTGGAAACCGTTTTTATTTTCTATTTTCTTCTAGATACGTGTGGCTTTAAAATAGAAAGATGAGGATAAAAACGCACGTACCTTTTTCACAATTAATGTTTTCCTACTTCAGGAATATCCAAAAATAATCGCATTTAAACAGTCTTGATAATTTTGTGATCTATGCAAAAATGTGCGTTGTAAACCATTATCATGATGTACATAATTTATAACACATCTTTTACTTATGAACAAGTCTATATTGTAATTTAAAACTTTTAAAAGCGGGGTTAAGATATTACACGCTACTGATCACGTGACTACTTGAATATCTTTTGAAACTCACTCGGTCGTAAAGCACAATTTCAAAACAAATACCATACGTGTTATTAAACCACCATGTAATACCAGATACCACAAAGACACGGATATAAAACTGAAAATGAACTATTTCTCCCTTGACCTCTTAATGCGTTGTAAAAGAAACAATATTAGCTCCGACAATCAACCAATTCTTAAAATCACTTGTTGAAACTAATTGACAGAAAAACACGGTACATCTTCTGACAAACCATTTCTCAATTTATAAGTAAAAATAAATCAAGATGATCTGTTAAATAAACAAATATTAATTGCAATTATGGATATAATTATCAGGATTACATACCAATTCGTTTTTGTTTATAAAAATATCGGCCCTTAATTAGTCATTTCATGAATTAATTTGGAGTATACAACACTTTTTGTTGCCGGCATATTGGAACACTTACACTGGGTAGCGTAATCGTTTGTATTAGCTGCAAGCAATATTATGGTTAATTAAAGACTAAGTTTGCACGTTACAAACTTTTGATATTGATAAATTGTATTGACATGGACTTCACAATATATTTGAGATTCAGAATACTTCTTTGATTTACCGTTATGATTACGCTTATGTTCTAGTATATAAATCACTTCTCCCAAAAGTCGTCTCGTTGTCCTATATGTAAGTTTACAAACCTTCACATGTTGGTGTTAAGACATTCACTTAAAAAGTATTAATATTTACTTAATGAAAATAGATAAACTTAAGAAAGTTATTCATTAATAAGCATTATATTATTTTTCCCCTAACACTTAAATATAATGACCTAAAAATAGCATATCGACATTTATCTTTTTTCTTCTATGAAAGTAATACATGTATATGAATGGGTCATTTCTTTTTAGCTAAAACCACTTAAAAACAATGAAGCATTGTTTAGATGCCGCTGGTGTTTTTTTTGACAGATTATCTTTATTACTGGCTTTAATTATAATATTTGTTTTTTTTGTATTACCGACTGTACACTGTAGATTTCATTAGACGCCGCGTCTAGTAGATATGCATTCGCCTATTCAGCATTATGGAAATTTTAGACTTGTTTGTGTGTATTGTTTTTGTGTTTGTTTTGTTTTAACAATATCACACTGTTTTCAAATTTTCTAATAAAAATAGCTTATCTGATGTACCACATATCACCGAGCTTTAAGGAATTAAAATTAACGTTTAACTGTAGTGATAGTGCCATGTTTGAATATCATATTCTTTTCATCAATATCTAATTTTATTTGCCTAATAATTAACGCACCAATGAGCCAGCCTATAGTCGACCGTTCTAAAACGTAACGGTTGAGAGAGGTTACGACAGAGGCAGTGTCACTCACTTTATTTGCTCCGCCTCTGTTGAAGTACGGCTCCGCCTTAAATTGTCGCAAAAATTAATATGATTCTCTGTATGCTAGCATTTAGTCTTAGTTGACGGAGGGTAGGGAACCAGGACAACTCAATATCACTTTCCTACATTATAAACATAACATAACATAAATTTATTGCATACAACTCTTTTACAAAGTTTACAGCAAGAAATATATAATTGTGGCAAGTACGTGGAAACGTGTTTTCAGAAGAGAAAAAAAAACAAGATAATTAAATTGACTTCATGAATACATAGTATTCAGCACATTTTAAGAAAGTTCAGTGTATTTATTCTAACATGTCAGCTTTTGTTTTCAAAATAACAGCATGCAGTATAGAGGTGTATGAACAAATTATGAAATTCTTATTCTATTGGCAATATATATATATATATATATATATATATATATATATATATATATATATATATATATATATATATATATATATATATATATATATATAATATATATATATATATATATATATATATATATATTTCGATAAATTACAAATATATTCTTTAGACGTGGCATTCATTAATTGATCAAATTTATGTATAGATGGCCAATGACAAAAACACTGCCGAAAATATTTTGTCCTCAATTCGCGACATTTAGGACATAAAAATAAATTAAAATTCAGTCTCAACTTTTCTCATATGACATAATTTACAAAGCCGTTCTTCTCGCGCGATATTTTCGTAACGTCCGGTTTTTATTAGTAAACTGTGCGAAGATGTTCTAAGACTTGATAGTGAAACCCTATACTTCTTCTCTTTAATGCGATCTAAATAATGTTCTGTTTGAAAATTATGTTTAAATATACAGTAAGATTGAAGGCGTGGCGAATTATTTTAGTCTGAGTACCAGCGTTGATAATATGTATCTAATATGCGTTGTTTTATTAACTGGAACGGTATATTATTCACATCCGTTTGTTGATTGCAGATATAGCTTAATCCATGTACATCTAAAATACTTTTCACTTGAGCAGTCCAGTTATTGCCACGATACTCACGACCGCTATCAGCGTCAGCTTTTAAAATAGTAAAGGTCTGCTTTATTAATGAAGAGTCCGTGTGCCTTAATATTTTAATCATTGATTATCTTTATTTTTCTTAATACAGCTGGTGGTACGCGCCCGAGTTCTCCATAAAGTGCGGAAAGGTTTGTTGAACGTTTCACACATAATACGTGACGTAAGAATTAAGTATTGAACAGTTCTATGTCGGTCGCTTCATGCATTCCCCATATTTCAGACCCGAAATTTAGAATAGAGCCAACTAAACTATCAAATAAACTTACTTTTTGTTTAATTGGTAACTCGATATTATTAAAAATGGTAAACAAGTTATATAATGAACGAGACGCATACTGTGCAATACATTTTTGACTGAGATACCAGTTTCCGTTTTTAAATAATGTAATACCTAAATATTTAAATGACGTAACTACTTCTAAAGGTGTATCTTCAATATAAAAGTAATGTTGAGAGTGATGTCCTCTTTTGAATACTAATATTTTAGTTTTTGTAGTATTGATTGTTAGACTCCACACCCTACAATACGTTACAAGATTATTAATCATAGACTGCAATGCTTCCGGGGATGTAGCATAAAGTACTTGGTCATCAGCATACAATAATAAAAAGTATTTTACTTCGTTGATTGTGAATATCTCATCAGTATTTGTATTAATAATGTGTGTGACGTCATTTTACGAAGTACATAAATAGCAGAGGGGAGCTCAGGTCCCCTTGTTTCAATCCAATGTTAGAGGTGAAGAAGTCTGATGATTCTGAATTGAACTTTACAATAGTATACATTGCTTTTATGGCCCGTACAAATTTACTACTAACTTTTTCTGGTAGAAGTTTTTGACATAAATATGTTCTATTAATTCTATCAAAACATAACATATAATCAACAAAACAGCAATAATTTAAAAGTTCTTTTCCCAAGTCTAAAACTTTACTTAATACAGAACGTAGGACAAATATACAATCAATTATTGACTTTCCTTTTTGGAATCCGAATTGATTTTTGTGTATCGTATTTGTTGGACCATTGAGTTAATCTATTCAAAAGCAACTGAGAGTAATTTTTGCAAGTACATTAAGAAGACATATTCCTCGATAATTCTTAGCATCATTTATGTCCCCTTTTTTAAAGATAGGTGTAATTATTCCTAAACCCCAAGAATTAGGATATTCACCACTGTTAAATATTTTATTATATATTTTCAACATAAGAGATGAAATTAAATCATAGCTCAACTTAAACAATTCACTTGGAAGGTTATCTTGTTCTGTAAAATTACCATCTAGGTCAGCGACGGTCTGGTCGTTCTGTGGAATATAGTTGTCATTTTCACTACTCGGCGGATCCTCACCAAACATACCTTTAAAATGGTTAAACAAACTATCGATATTAAGATTGATATTATCCGCCTTTAATGGTGCCTTTGAAAGATTTTCGAAAGTTTTCCCAAACTGTCTAGGTTGAGATTTAGCTAAATTGCTAACTTTCTGGCCCTGCCGAATTTTATTTCGTAAAAACGAATTATTATTTCGTAAAAACGAATAAATATTTCGTAATTACGAATAAATATTTCGTAATTACGAATTAAATGCCGGGAAAAAGTGTGGAAAATGTCACTTCAGGGGCTGCATAGAAAATCTTAGCAAGAGGGAGTTTTTGTCATGAAACCATGTATGGTATTTAATGAGGATCTTAAACTCTTCGTGTATATTATTAACTAAAGGCAAACTACTTTTTATCTTTTTCGAACAATTAATATAATCTTTGATTTTGAAAGAATTTGAGTTTTTAAATGATACTCATGCAATGTTTTTCTTGATGACATCCTTCATTCATTTGTGCTTTGAAATAACAGTATGAATATGCATTTCATAATATATCACTCCTCTTAAACATTCATTATTGATATAATAAAACAAAAACACATGATTGTAATAAGATATCGACGTCCTGGTGGTTGTATATCAAAAATCACCTTTGCAGATTTGGTTATAGTTATTATAGATGTGTCATATACCATATTTAACAGACTGCCCAATTTATATTTTCAATTATATCTTAAGCTTAAATGAGACTTGAAGCTGCTTCAATAAAATATTGTTTGAATTTTATTAAAAAATACTTCCAAATTGCTTGTATGAATGACATATAGATATAATGTCGTAAAAGTGAATGACGCTTGCACAAAATAATTGCTAAACAGTCAATCCATAATATGAAAAACAGTATAATATTTTATACTCATAATTGCACAACTACGTCATTGAATCACCATGCCGTCTGCTGTAGGTAAACGATACATGATTTTTTGTAACAGCGGGGCTTTTGTTATTGGCAATAGCACATGCATTGCTATTGATGTTTCACGACTTATATAACCTCAAATAAAAATGGCTGCACTTGTTTATTAACGAAATAAATGCATATACTATGTATTTCTTCTTGTTCAGTATTTCTCTGTTCACTGAATTTAATTGTTTCATAGCACTATCTCTT